TTTAAAAAAATCCACATATATACAAAATGTATTGGGAATCTCCTCACCTCCTTTTGACATCATTTATGCTCTCCTTTTTCCTCTGAACCTCATCTTCTTCCCAACTATACCCTTTCTACTTCCATATCTCTTAAAAATGTTTTTTGAGTCACTGATTTTGATTCAAATTTCTAATGTCACCTTGGAGAAGGGATCATCCGATAGAGCACAGGTAGCTGACCAATGTCTGCAACATTGAAACACACACATACACACACACACACACACACACACACACACACACACACACACACACCAACCCCAATGGCAACCATTAACTTGCAATAGCTCCTCAGAAGAGAGTGGAGCCTCATGGCCACTTATTCATCCATGAAAAAATGTTGAAGGCCTTGTGTAGGTATCCAGGGCTGCTGTTCATTTGTGTTCACCATGGCCTTTTTGGATTCTGATGGCAGTAATGAAAAGGAAATTTCAAGGCAGAGAAACAGCATGGACAATGGTCATAGGTGGCTGTTGTTCAAGGTCATCTATATAGAATATGATCAGAAGATTAATACAAACTGAGCTGATGGTATGATGAATAACTAATATATTCCAGTCACATTTAAAATGTTCTTTCATGCTATATTTGTGAATTTGTTTTCCCATTGTGTAATATGTAGATATCTGAAAATGTAAGCAGATGAGTAATAGGAATCTATTTCTATTTTCTTTTTAAAGAAGATAACTTTGGAATCTGTGTGGAGGATGCTAATGAGAATGATGCAGTAGAATTAGAGGAACTATGTAGTCATTTAGTTGACATTTTATGGAGACATGAAGTAAGAGAAGCTTGTGGCTTGGAAGAACAGTCTCAAGAAGAATTTCTGAGCAAGAGCAATCATGGTCAGGACTTGCTAATTATCATTTAGAGAACTTCCAGATAAAGAAAAAATCATTGTGTTTGGACCTTTTTTGTCTTGGAATGCAAGGGGTGGAAAATGCAGGCAAGAGAAGTAGTTTAGCAGAAAGGAGAAGGTGGATTTAATTGTGCCTGTGTCTATTCAACAGGTGTGTGGGACAGCCCTGGGAATGTGCCCAGCAGGCTGTACAAAATATGATCTCTGCTGGGTTGCTAGATTAGGTATGGTGTTCAGGGATTATTAACAAACAAACCACCATAGATGCTATGGGCTTCAGTGAGAACACAAACAACAGAACCAACGTAACCCAGGATGCTCATGTATCAGCAGTCTGAACAGTGATTCACCTCTATCACAGCATGATGCTCTAAGTCAGTGTGTTTGCAGTTTATATTATATCAAAATTCTGGGAAATGAGCTGCCTTGACTTATTTGTTTTCTCAGTCTCTACTAAAGCCTCCTGCTTTTTCCAGTGTGGTTGTACAATAATGGCAGATGCATTCTTTATACCTTCTTATATGTTTTTTTCTCCTTAACATTGTAATATCTCATGTGTTGTGACAATGTCATTTATTGCATCAATTTTGATTCTCCTACTAAATTCTTTTCTATATATAAAAGTGACTGGTGAAGAGGCCCTTCCCCAACTTCTTTTTCCTTCACAGTCAATGCCAACAGTGGCAGAAAGTATATCAGCTGCTCATGGCTTTTACTTACTTATTAAGAATGAAGAGTATTAGGAGAAAGGGGGTAACTCATAGACATTAATATTTCTTTCTGAAAATGAACACATAGCCATACAGTTAGAGAAAGCATTCCTGCCAAACAGTGGTGGTGCACACCTTTAATCCCAGCACTCGGGAGGCATAGGCAGGTGGATCTCTGTGAGTTTGAGGCCAGCCTAGGCTACAGAGTGAGTTCCAGGAAAGGCACAAAACTACACAGAGAAATCCTGTCTTGAAAATACAAAAAGAAAGAAAGAAAGAAAGAAAGAAAGAAAGAAAGAAAGAAAGAAAGAAAGAAAGAAAGAAAGAAAAGAAAATTAAAAAGCATTCCTTTAGAAATTCCTAGTCTCTGGGAAAATAAACTATGTATACTGCAACCAAATGAGATTTGGTCTGATACCTCAGGATAATAGAAAATCTGGCCTTTAAAAGCATAAAAAAAACAGTTTTCTGTTTGATAAAAGACATCTAGCCAATTTCTGTGGACCTTAGACAGAAACAAAGATCAGTGTGTTGAAGTCAATCAGTAACTTGAAATACCTTTTTCCTGTGTTTGGAAGGAATAAAAACAGACACACTGCCATGAAAGTATGTTATTTCTGCAAAAATACTTGTATCTTTAGCAAATTTTAATGTCATTTTTATTCTCCTTGTGTTTCTTTTACCTATGACTTTGTATGAAATTCAGAATGCTTCATGTCTTCCAGCTTTTATTATAGTGCACAGAGAGCTCTATATTGAAACTTCTAAGACAACGCTGTATAGTTGAAATGATTCAAGACTTAGACAAGAGCTACAAATTAGACTGGGATGAAGAGAATGTATTTTAGAGGAACAATCCAGCATGAGGTATACGTTGTTTTTTAAAGCAATTAATTAAATTATTTAATCCCTGAGATAATATGTATTTATCACTTTCCTGTTAAAAAATATCAAGTCTGCATGATTTTAGGATGTCATATGATTTTGAGATATCCTAGACCAATTGTATCACTTTATGGATTAGGAAATATCAAGAGGAGAAAGGTCAAGTTTCTTTTCCAGGGTCACACAGGAGTCAGTAACAGGGTTTATATGAGAATTTAAGTTGTCTGATTCCAGACCTGATGCTCATTTTCTTCATATGACACACACACACACACACACACACACACACACACACACACACACACAGAGAGAGAGAGAGAGAGAGAGAGAGAGAGAGAGAGAGAGAGAGAGAGAGAGAGAGAGAGAGAGAGAGAGAGAGAGGGAGGGATTGGAGGAGAAGATATTTCTATTCTAGCACTTGGCATGCTAAAACATTCAATGATGCAAATTTTAACTGTCGCCCTAAGAAAACAAAACCAAGGGAACAAATGATCCTTTGAACTTGCCAGTTGGGATTGCTTGATTTACAGGGCAAAATTAGTCATGTTGTCATGTCCCTGGCTTCCTGGTTTCCGAGAGCCCATCGCCAGAGTTCTGTTGCCACCATGTGTACTTACAAAGGGGGTTAGTCTTGAGAAATCAGAGCTTTGAACCCAGGCGAAAGCATGTAATTAGAGCAATTTCCACATCATACAAAAAATACATTCTTCAGGTGTAAAGTCCTGCCCTCCCCGAAGGTCTTCTGACCCTGGATTCATTATTTGTGGTTTTGAGTATTTGGCAGTCACAGGTTCAATCCTGTAGGGAAAGGATTCTGTGCTTTGCTTAGCCCTATGGTGTTCAAGGCTGCTTGCAGAAGTAAAGAAATTTGGGAGAAGTTGATATATTGCAAGTAAAAAAGCCATTCTTGTCAGACTTGAAAGGGTAAAAGTTTGGAGAGGTAAGCATTTGTGATGATAATCTTAATTAAAGAAAATTATTTACTCATACTAACACTGGGAGAGTCATCTAAAATAATACATACTTCTTTGATTCCCAAACTTAAAAGGTAAGTTGGCTTTTTCCCCCTTAGGTCTTGAAGGGCAGCTTAAGGAACATTAACAACTAACAGCTGAGCCTGAGAAAACCACAAGGTTTGGCTAGAAGACTGAAATATCTCACTGAAATGCATCCTCTTCTGTTTCTTCTATGTACTGTTTTAGCTGTTTCTTCTTAGCATTTGCAGTGGTGAATTACACCACTTCAAAAACAGATGTAATTCTACAGCCCTTAAAGTACAATGGAACATGAAGGTCTAATCCTAATTTTGACCTTTTGTTGTGAAGATGGGTAGGTAGTTAGAATTCAATTTTTCTGAGCATTGTAGCATGAATCTTAAAAGTTCTTATTAATAAAATCAAACCCGAGGCCAGTTATTGGGTTCAATGCTGGTAGATCAGAGAGACAGAACAAGCCACAGCTAACCTCACCTGGCCAACTTCTCAGCTGGTCTTGTTTCCTCAGACTGGATGCTTCTGTGTCCTCATCCCAATGGCTCTCAGCCTGAGCTGTGCTACTAGAAGCCTGAAAGCTTAACCAGCCAAATGCTTAACCAGACAAATGCTTAACCAGACAAATGCTTCTAGTTTTTGGTCCTCACGCCTTATATACCTTTCTGCCTTCTACCACCACTCCCTGGGATTAAAGGCTCGCTTTCTGGGATTAAAGGCGTGTGTCACCATGCCTGGCTATTTCCAATGTGGCCTTGAACTCACAGAGATCCAGAGAGATTTCTGTCTCTGGAATGCTAGGATTAAAGGTGTGAGTGCCACCATTTTCTAGCCTCTGTATCTAGTGGCTGTTCCGTTCTCTGACCCCAGATAAGTTTATTAAGGTACACAATATTTTGGGGAACACAATACCACCACAGAGCATCACTTTTCTCATCTTTAGGATAAGGTGGTGTCATCTTTATTTAATTTTGGTAAAGATTAAATATGCCAGTCACACAGTAGGTATGAAGTAAACATGGCTTTTAGTTTAGTATGTTTCACCTCTTCAAGTGCTAGACTAGTCTATTACAATTCCGACCTTTAAGGGGCTCTTGGGCCTATTGTACCCTTGGCCAAATTGATACCAGCTACTTTTGCACAGAAGTGAAATTAAATTAAAGCTGCATTTCTTCCCCATTCTTCACACTTGGGTCCAGTCTTACTCTGAGCCACATTTCTGTTGGTCTAACCTCAGGGCATGTGTCCATCATTACTGTTAGGAATGATTATGTAAAGCACATCTCATCTCACTTTCATACCATCATTTCCTGTTGCCCTTTCTCTCAAATATTCCCTAGAATTTGCTTTCTTCTGTGTACCTGTTGATTCTAGTGCTTTGGTTTGTGTCACAAGGATACCAGTTCATTATACCATGCCGTGCCAAATACAGGAGTCAGTTGTCAATCCTGCTCTGAGCTGTGTTCTCATTCACTGTCACTACTGCCACACTTGCCCACCACACTGTGAGTTCTTACCTGAAATGATACAGCTGTGTGTAAACCAAGTAGGGCTCCTTCCGGTTCTGCTTATAAATGCACTCAAAATAGCTCCCGGATATGTCACCCTGAGATGACTTTAGTCAGGGTTCATGTCACTCTCTTTGCCTGTCCCTAGTGTTTCTCACAGGAACATAGCAGGCACTCAGTAAACAGATTGCTGAGCAATTGAAACTAAAAGAAAGAAAGAGGAGGGGGAGGAGGAGGAGGAGAGGAGGGGGAGGAAGAAGAAGAAACATGCTCATTATTTGTCACAGCTTCCCTTCCCTTTTGACGATCTTAACAATGCTTTGTGTGGTTCTTATTGTCACATAATCTTATTTCACAAAAATGCCTTTTGGAATTTTAGACCAGATGTTTAAGCTGGGACTCATAGAAATAAAGGGATATTTCAAAGGTTGATGGGTTATGTGATTTGAGACTTGAGACTTGAATTCAGCGTTCTTCCCAATAGCTTGTTCTTTTTGTTACGCATATTTAATTTTCCTCTTTAGGGGTCTCTGGGCTTGCCTTCCTATTTATTTATTTATTGTACTTCTTTTGTCCTTACCATGTCTGTAAGTAAGATCAGATCCCATACCTTTAAGCAATTGCCCAACCTGAAAATTCTCAGCAAATAGTTTGAAACCATGAGGGGTGATGCATGGGGAGACTGAGGTAGGAAGACACAAGTGGGAGCTATCCTGGACTGCATAGGGAGCGTCTGTCTAAAACAAACAAACAAACAAACAAACAAACAAACAAACAGCAAATTAGAATGAATGCCCCAAACTGACAACAATGTGTTCTTGAGAAATTAACTCTACATTTAAAAAGAATGTTGTGGTCTAGGTTTGAAGGTGTCTAGCCTCTGAAAGTTGAAGCTGCAGTAACAAAAGTATTTTTTGGCACTATTTGAAAAATTTTAAAAGTTGTACATGTCCCTTGTATGATATCAGAATTTTATATTTTTTTCCATTCCATGTAGGTTGACAACAATTAGAAGAGAATCACATTTCATTGCAAGGAGAGATTTCAATGACAGACTACATAGTCTCCCTACGGTGATTAACAATGGCTCTCCTCTTCATAGCATCAGCATATTTTGATTTTATTGTTCTTATCTGGACCACTGGAAAGCAGGCCAATAAACAAGGATAGCCAATTAAATAAAAGAAATGGGCAAACAAATAAGAGGTTCACATTTTGAGGAAACTACTCCTTCAATACACATAGATTTTTCATGAACAGCTACAGCCATCGACGTACTGAGACCATTTTGCATGAGACATTCCAACTTGGCCATTTCCATTCTATGGCCTGCAGCTCTCACTTCTGTCTCCAGTGGGAATCCCAAACAGTACTTCTACAAAGGGCAACTGTGCCAGAGGAAGCTTACATCACATATCCATGGCAAAAAGATACTGAGTGCCCTAGGGACTGTATTTTGTAGTAATGATAAAAAGGTGTTATTAGCAGATGTCCCCAAAGCATATTTGCTCATTCATAATCATCATCTGTAATAATAAAGTGCAATTTCTTTGTTTCCAACTATTCAGTGTTTGGGAAAGCATGGCAATTTTTAATTAAAAATAACCCATGAAATATATGTATAGAAATATTTCATCTGGCAAATAGTCTATTTAAAGATAAATAAGCAAAATAATTTTAATATGAATTCTAGAATATACTATAGAGAATTAAGTGCTGAAAATTCTTTTGTAAGGAAGATGCCACTTTCACTCTCAGATAGTCTATGAGAAAAGATGTGTTATAATGCTAAAACATATTTCCCTAATAAGCAAGAGTTGGAGCATATAAAGTTGATGTAAAAAAAATTCTGTACTTTTGTTATATATCAGAAATGAGCATATTTGGTTCGAATTAAAAAGCACTATACCGTTAAGATTAGCAATGACAAAATAAAACTCATCCTCATCCATTTAACTAGACATACATAGTTGCTGTATCAGTAGAACTCCAAAACTCAGATAAACTATTGGTACTGGACTATGCACTGTAGCCAATGCACCAAATGAATATGAGGGGTTCATAACAGAGAAAGTAGGGGCCAGAGAGGATGCACAGGAACTCTCTGAACTGCTGTTTGTTTTTTTTAAATACTTGCTACTGCCTGAAGTATAATGACTATTAAGAACAAATGCCACTTAAGGGGTATGTATATACACATGATGCTGCTCTAGTAAACATAGATCAAAATCATCCTAGGATACAGTAGAGCACATATGGTGATGCTCTGCAAAGGAGCGCCATCCGGTGAGCACGGTCCAGCTTTGTAAATGAGACAGATCTGGATCGAAATCAGAACCTGGCAACTGACAAGAGCTAATGGAATCCAAACAAGTGGCTTTCATTTGTTTTCCTGGACCTTATTTTTATCATCTATAAAGCATGGATGACAACACTTGCATCATTTAAATGTGATTATGATGACAATTCACTTAAACACTGTGTGGCATGGCGTAAATGTCCACTAATGGATAATGTCCAATCCTTAATGTATGAAGCCACGTTGAAGCATTGTCCTCATTTCAAAGGTAACAGTGAAGTACAAAGTAAGAAAGGCTATTGGAAGAAATAAAACATCTTTCTAAAAGAAAGGGAAAAGTTACTTATTTGTTTGGCTACACATGCATCCAAAGACCATTTACTAAGTGTTACTTGTGTTATAGGTTTTATTTTTAAGGATTTATTTCAGTTTAATTGTGTGTGTGTGTGTGTGTGTGTGTGTGTGTGTGTGTGTGTGTGTGTGTGTGTGTGTGTGTGTGTGTGTGTGTGTGTGTGTGTGTGTGTGTGTGTGTGTGTGTGTACATGTGAGTAGATATGTCTAAGGAGGCCACAAGAGGGCACTGGATCTCCTGGAGACAGGTGGCTGTGAGCTGCTGATGTAAGTGCTGGGACTGACTTCAGATCTTCTAAAGGAGTAGCAAGTGCTCATCTTTCCAGTTCTAACTTTATAGTTTTTACTGCTCTCATTATTATTGAAAAGTTATGTTTATGCAAATTTATTTCCCTTGCTCATGCTTACTACACAGGCATATACAGATATGTATATATTTTCATATTTTACCTTGCATTTGAAATAGCTTTTTCTCTTGTTTAAAGTTTGCCTAAAGGTTTACTTTTACGAGTAAGGAAACACACATACATATATATTCACATATATACACACAAATATACGTAATAGTTCCATTCTAAAATTCTAACATATTCCAGATGGAAAAAACCAACCAACATGTCTTCAGTGGTTACTACACCCCTGGTTTTCTGGAGACAGCTGCTGAGATGAGTACTGGTAAACTCATGAGAGCAGACACATCCTAGAACCTTGAGGGGCAGAGGATGTTTTCAAGCCATCCATTAAAGGAAGATCTGGACTTTCATTCCTCTCGTGTCTGAACTTCCTTCAAGTCACTGAGGCACTAGGTTGGGGTAAGCAGAAAGGTGTGTTTCTTTCCTTTGAGCAGGTAGTGCCTGTTCAGGCGCCTGGGTATCAAAATCTATGCCTGGGTTGGGGCTATAGCTCAGTTGGTAGAGTGCTGGCTGAGCATGAATACAGCCCTAAGTTCGTTCCCCAGCACTACTCAAATGGGTGGTTCAAACCTGCAATCCTAGCACTCAGGAGGTGGAAGCAGGAGGGTCAGAAGTTCGAAGTCATTCTTAACTATTTGGAAGTTTGAGAGAACAGAATGTGATACATGAGACCTCGTCTCAAGAAAATAAAATAAAATCCAGGCACATTTATATTCATTATCCTTAAATATCATCCTAGATATCACTTTAAATTAAATTTCTTAGTAACAGGAATAAAGGCAATTTAATAGAAGGTCAGTGGTGGGCTTGGGAAATTCACACATGTACTTTGATTTTCAGCTTCCAGCTCTCTAAAGAGGGAATGCAGACGCATGTTGGGGGTGCGGACTGAACTCAGGGGTCTCATACACAGTAAGCACATGCTCTACCACCGAGATGGATCTCCAGCTCTAAAGTCCTGTATCTTTTTTTTCTCCTTCCCTGGGGCCAAGGATCAAGCTCAGAGTCTTGTGCTGTTTAGACGGGCTCTTACCACTGAGCTAAATCCCTAACCTTTTCCCTAGCCTAAAGAAGAAATATTAAAACTTCTGCTCACTTTGTATAATGTTATTAGAGAATTAAATTTTAAAACAATTGTATATTTGCAAGATTGCTTCGTAATCTCCCTACAAATATAAAATGTTTGCTAATAATATTAGCACTTGTGGAAAATAAATATTTTAGTTGTAAAGTCAAATTTATCGAAGGCACATCTAATCTTACAGCACGGATATGGGCTATGAAATGGGCTTGTGTGTCCTTGTATGTTTGATAGATCAGAGTAGTATGTCTGATTTCTTTGAGAATTTTATTCTCTAGCACATTCATCCAATAAGTTCTTGATTTCTTAGTATGAGTCAGGCACAAGGCAGGATGCTAAGGATATGGAGCGATAGCAGTTAGTTACCTATTTTTGAGGAATTTACAGTCTAAAATAGAGGTATTGATATACAAAGGAATTTGTACTATAGTGAGATGAGTCTATCAGACCATGTGTGCACAGAACTTCTGGGCATGTGGGAATGGAGCTTGCTGATGCAACTGCATTGAGAGACAGTGACAGAGCATTCTTTCAGAAGGCATCTTTGGATAGGGGTTTTGAAATAATACATTAAGGGTCTCCATCTGGAATAGGTTTTCAGTGTAACCATCCTGTAAGCAGTGTAACCAGAATGCACATGAAGTGAGTAAGATGCCTGAAACTAGTGCAGAAGCTTGATCTTGGGCACACAGTGTCTATAACATGACATACTGCGATCCGCCTTATTGTTTTAAATTTATAAACGTTGAGGTTTAAAAAAAATATGAATGTGCTTTCGTTAACTAGAGCATCTGAAAGATTGAACTACAGGATGCTCACCAAATGAATCTTTATCACAGCTCCTTTCATGGTTGAATTGTTTTGCTTTTAACACCAACCCTTGAGAGTAAAATGTGTGGCTTGTATTCCCAAGGTTGACTTGCTGGTAATTGTTAGGGATTTCGTATTTTATCAGGACCGTAGCCTGGAATCTGCTCTCTAGCTTTTCACATACACCGTTCTTTCACCAAAGATTCCACAATGTAGGCCAGAGCTTTTACTTCTAAATGGCAGGTAGACT